GGGACATTTCTTGCTGCTTTTGGTAGCACTCAGCAACTCCCGTTCTTGTGGAACAGCGATGAAAAGACAAGAGACGTCCCTTGTAATGAGGCACTGCCCGGAACGGTAGATCCACCCCACAGACCTGTCTGGGTTACCCCCAGCAGCTCTATCTTCTCCCTGCAGGGCGGGGCTGGAGACCTGCTCTACAGTCACGGCACAGGGTCATGCTCTGTGCTTCCACAATAGATACAGTCCCACAAACACAACTGCCCCGCTTACTTACGCGGCTACCACTGAAACCTACTGACTTCTAACACGGGTAAGGCCCCACGCTTTCAGGCAAGTAGCTAATTTCCCAGTCCCTAATCCACTGCAATATAAAAACCAACTTATTTTCCTTCTTGGGACGAAGGACTGTACAGACACCTTCGCATAGCCCTGCCTGCTGCAGACCCGTAACATCCAACTAACCCGTGCAATTAGAGGGAACTGCACTGAGATCCACCCCACAGCTCAGTCTGGGTCACCCCTGGCAGCTCTGCCTCCTCCCTGCAGGTCTAGGCTGCACCTGACCCCGGCAGAGCTCCCAGCTTCTAACTAAGGGGAGATGTGGGCACAAGCGGGGATGCTGCCCTTAATGGAGCCTTCCACACCAGCTTCCAAACAGCTACTGGGCATGGGCACAAACTTCCCACGCTCCCTCTAGGGGGCTGAAATGGCAACTGCCCTCCCGCCAGGCTCTGTACTGCCCCCTGTGGGAGCACCACTAGCAACAGCAGCTGGAATTACAGCCATAAGGGTTACAGGCTGAACCCCATGAAATAAAACACAGAAATGGGAGTTACACCAGCATGGGCCGGGGGGGGGGGATGAGTAATTAGCACTCTCCAGGAAGCACATTAATCTCGTAATGCCTACCTCTTTTCATCCATAATCTCAAAGTGCTTTACAAAGGGGGTCAGGAACATTCTCTCCATTTTGCATATAGGGAAACTGAGGCACTGAGTGGGGCAGTGACGTGCCCAAGATCACCCAGCAGGCAAGAGGAAGGATTAGAACCGAGGTCTCCTGAGTCCCAGGCTCCCTGCACTAGGCCACACTGCCTCCAGTGTGGCATTAAAGCACCCATTACTTTTCTCCTTGATATCAAGGGCTGTTTTGCCATTGGACTTGACTGGGAACAGGACCTCGGTCTAGTGGGTGGGTATGAGGCAAATTAACCCTCCCCCACTAAAACGAATCTGTGTGGGGATGGACTGGGAGGAGATTAAAGCCTGGCCCGAGTGTCAGGGGGTATATAAGGGACTGATCCTGAGAGACCCAGATCCTCAAAGTTATTTAGGCCCATGAAATCAATACCACTCCCACCGACACCTGTGGGAGCTGGGGGAGCTCAGTACTGCACAGGATCAGGCTCTGGATCCTCTGCAGGCTGCACAGGGGTCTCATGGGCCATAAGCAGTGGTGCTGGTTGCTGCATCTGTGTGTGGGTTAGCACTCAGCCCCTGGCTAGCGAGAGCCCCAGTTCCCGTGGATGCAGGCGTCCAGGGAGCGACACCCCTTCCCAACCCCATCTCCGGTAGCATCACGCTGCCATTTCAACCCCCTCCAATCCCTGCCCCGCTCTGCACTTAGTCAAGCAGGCTTGATTTCTTCTGACATCCTAGAAATGTCAACATTGCTCTGGATTAAAGGTCAAATCCCGACGGGTGGATTTCAAAATGTCATCCCGTGCTGTGCCAGAGCGGCTCCCCTTCCGCCCAATGTTTCCATCTGGAGGAGCGAGTGCTTCGGACGCTGAGCGGGCCCCAGTGGGTGCCGGGGTGCCAGCCTCACCCAACAAGTATCATAAACCCATTCCCCCCGCCAGCGGGTCCTCAGACTCACTCCTGACAGCATTTCTAGACTGAGACACTGTCATGAGTTCAGAAGGCCTCAAGAGGGTGTGGTATAAAGAGTGTCAGAGAATCAATATTGCTCCTGTTCCACTGTGCCCCTGGCTGAGTCACTAAGCAGGGACCGAACCCGCGACCGCGGGATCTCAAAGCAGGACCCAAAGGCTTGTAGCACCCCCACCCTCTTGTGTTCGAATCCTAGTCACCACTAGAGGGGGACACAGCGTGGCTTACAATCAGCTGATTATGAGCTTCTTCTGCACCACCCTCAGCTATTATCCGCTGAGCAATTTGGTTCCTTTGGCCTAATACATTCAAGGAGAGCCAAAGGGGCAGGATCAGGTAGTGTCACTCCAGAAAGGAGGGTGACCTGTTAGTGAGAGAAAAGGACAGGGCTTCAGGACTTCTGGATTCTAGCCTCGACTCTAACACTTTGTGACCTGGTATAAGTCACTTAGCCTTCCTGTGCCTCAGTTTCCCCATCTGCAATACAGGGCTAACAGAAAGCACCTGCCTCCCGAAGGGCTGGTGGGTGGGGTGAATGTCTGTAAAGCACGTAGAGATTGTCAAATAAACAGGCCTGCAGAGATGCAGAGTGTTGTTGCTGTTATTTTAGTGCTAGTGACTCTGGTTTGAAGACAGCTAGCCGCCGACAGCTGGTCCTGCGGCGATGGCCACGTCCAGCTTGTTTTCTCGTCTGAGCACACACTTGGCCCCTGTGCAGACAATGGGTGCCAGTGACTGATGCCTCTGTGGAGCCGCTCTGGCACTCGTTGGCAACCCAGACTGTCTTGCGTTCCCCCTCCTGAGGACGGACAAGCGTGAGAGCTGCCTGCTAAACTCAGGGCGGGCGGGGGGAGGCAGGAGAGGGATTGCCAGCTCCTTGCTGAATCCAACTGGAAAGGCAGATTAATTGACAAAGCAATGGCCCTGCTCACTGGTAGCAAAGGCCCCCTGGGGTCTCAGCCCCTCACCAAACATCTGCTGTCCACTTACAGTGCTTCAGAATCACCAGGCCATGTGAGCGCTCTCCCCATGGCATGAGGCCTGATCCTGAGAGGTGCTGGAGTGTCCCCAGCTTCCGCTGATGTCCGGTTTCTGAGTGGGAGGTGCAAGCCCAGGTGGTGGGGCTCATTCTTCTCCGCTGTGGCACAGAGCCAGGTCTGGGAAGGGGGACAGATCACTAGCCCCCTGGTATTTCCTCCTTAGCCCAGTCGCAGGTGCTGCCTTGGGAGTGTTGCATTTATCCACTCCTGCCTACTCTGGTCAGCTGGCGAGACAGGGTGGGGGAGGTGATAGCTTTTACTGGACACAAGCTTTCGAGCCACCCGGAGCTCTTCATCAGGTCTCAGCTGATGTCAGCGACAACACAACGCACCTCTAAAGTGCACGTCCCTGGAGCGTCTAGGGGATGTACGATGCACGGTGCATTTCCTCAGCACACAGCACCTAGTCCGGTATATACCCTGAGTCTCTTACCCACTCGCCTGCTTTGTCGTCTCCCAGGAACGCTGTGAGTCCGTGCACCAGCTGATCTCAGGGTCTCCCAAGCAGGCAGGCCTTGCACCCGCCAGGGACAGTCGGTGACACTGCATGGGAACCAGCAGGCAGGCCTTGTCCCCAGATTCTCTCTTGCAGCCATCTTGAGGGTTGGGTGTGGGAGCAGATACCTGGTGCACGTCACACAGGCTCTGCTGGAGGGTACATTTCCAGCCCGTAAAATGTGGTTTCAAGAAACCCAGCTGTAGAATTATGATGATCATTGTTTTCTTTCTTGGCCAAGTAGCATCTCTGGGCTCAGAGCCGAGTGTTTTGTACACACTGCCTGCAATTACTGGTGTATATGCTGGGAAAAATACCCACCACTTTGAGCCATTCACTAGGGGTCACGGGTGTCAGCGGGTCAATTACATAACTCAGGTACGGCTCCCACAGCTGGGCAGGACAGAGGCAAAGGTGGGGTCAGGGAGGAATCTGTGTGGAGCCTGGAGAGACTCAGGGATAGGAAGGGGACTGTGGGGATTCAGGGCCAGAGAAACCTTGGGCCAGCATTTGAACTGAGGTCAGGGATTGCTTGGGTGGCTGGAGAGAAGGATGCAGGGGCCCAGTGCAGCACTGAGGTGCCGTGCCAGAGAGGCCATGGGTGGGTCAGCAAAGGAAAGTTTCAGGGAGCTGTAGCTGTCTCAATGGAGCAGCCAGCAGCATCAATGCGAGAGGAGCTTGGGCAGGTGTGTCTGTGATGGGTTGGTGAAATGTAGCAGGTGGCTCCCCAGGGCTGTTTCTGCAGGAGCGTGTCTAGGAAATGAGCTGCCAAGCCAGACGCTGCTTCCAGGGAAAGCCCGGTGGCTCCCCGTGCGACACCCTCTATGGGGCCTAGAGGGGCGCGCTGCTCCCCTGAGCAGGGCCTGGTCCTTGGGAACGTGCGGCAGTACCCAGCCCCTCCGGGACTGCAGCGCTGCTGAGTGCCGGCGGGGAAGGGCTGGGTGCTGTGAGAGCCAAAGCCAGGCAATTCTTCCTGAAAGAGACAGGCTGAGAAAATGACCCTTTGCACCGATTAGTGCCCCCCCCCCCCACAGGCCGACCCTGCCAGGCTGCGCCCCAGCTCCCGCCCGGGACCCGTGCCATTGGCTGTCTTACAGTCACTGCCTCTGAGTCGGGCTGCGTTAAGCTCCCAGGAACAGCGGGTACCGAGCGCCCGGTCACTGCCACCCGGAGTTCCCAAGCAGCCGCACATGTGTGCCCGGGCAGGGGGCTGCTGCTCTGCCTGCCCCCCCCCACACACACACACATACACACAGGCACATTTTCGAGGGCACTATTTTCTCCCTTCACCATGGCCTGGCCGGGAGCCCACCCCTGTTTCCCACCCTTCCCCCACCAGCCTCCCTTCCAGAGCCTCTCCCACTTCCGGCTCTACATTTCTATGATTCTGTGCTTTTGGTTAACCCTGGTGCCCGGCCTGGATTTAATCAAGGGTCATTATATTCTGCCTGCCTAAATTCTCCCCCTTGCAGTTTCCACTGAATGTGGCCTCCTCCTTCCTAAACTGGTGTGCAGTGTTCCCGGCAGAGCAATTTCCCGTGTCTCACCGGCTTAGCGGCATTCAAGGTTGTTGGAACTCACCTCACTCTTTCGGATACCTCTGATGCTGCAAGAGTGTCCCCCCTTTTTGATCCGAGTGGCTAGTCAAATGTTGGAGCCCTGGAAATGAAAAAAGAAAGTGATGGGGTCTTATTTTCTCTGAGGCAATCTTGTTTGCGTACAAGGAATGTACTAGGGCCTGCTCCTCTGAATACAGGAGGGACAAAACCCAAAAGCCTACAGCCCCAAGCCTCTTTAACCAGCAGACCCAAAAGCCTACAGCCCCAAGCCTCTTTAACCAGCAGACCCAAAAGCCTACAGCCCCAAGCCTCTTTAACCAGCAGACCCAAAAGCCTACAGCCCCAAGCCTCTTTAACCAGCAGACCCAAAAGCTCTCTCTCTAGCTTCTTCCAGCATCACACTGAGCTCTGCTCACAGGCTACTGCTTGGCTTTCTAGCTTTTTGTCTCTGGCTCTCTCTCTGTTGTCAGTTTCTGTGTGTTCTCTCTCTCTCTCTCTCACACACACACACACACACCCCCCCAGGGAAAAGCTCCTGGGCACAGTCATACACACCTTTGTTTTGTGCAGGGGGCAAAGGGGGTTATGTTTCCAGTTATGTTAACTGAAGGCTGAGTTCACACCTAACAAGCTCAATGGGGTTTTAATTCAACCCAGCTCATAACAATTTATATCCCTGACCTACAAGGGTGTTGGGAAGCCCTAGGAGTGGAAACACTCTCTAGGAGGACAAACTATTATCAGAGAGAAGCGAACTAGATACCATTAACTTAGGTTTGAACAGAGACTGGGAATGGCTCGGTCATTACACTTATTGAATCTATTTCCCCATGTTAAGTATCCTCACACCTTCGTGTCAACTGTCCGAAATGGGCCACCTTGATTATCACTTCAAAAAGAACAGGAGTCTCTAAGGTGCCACAAGTACTAACAAATTTATTAGAGCATAAGCTTTTGTGAGCTACAGGCATCCGATGAAGTGAGCTGTAGCTCACGAAAGCTTATGCTCTAATAAATGGGTTAGTCTCTAAGGTGCCACAAGTCCTCCTGTTCTTTTTGCGGATACAGACTAACACGGCTGCTACTCTGAAACCTATCACTTCAAAAGTTTTTTTTTTCCCCTGCTGATAATAGCTCCTCTTAATTAATTAGCCTCTTACAGTTGGCATGGGTACTTCCACCTTTTCATGTTCTCTCTATGTATAAATATCTTCTTACCCTATGTTCCATTCTATGCATCTGATGAAGTGGGCTGTAGCTCACGAAGGCTTATGCTCTAATAAATGGGTTAGTCTATAAGGTGCCACAAGTCCTCCGGTTCTTTTTGCGGATACAGACTAACGCGGCTGCTACTCTGAAATCTACAGTATCCTCCCACACTGATGGGCTTTCCGCTCCTGCTCTCACTGAAGGAATTCCACTCTCTCTCTCACTCCTCCCTTCTATGTCCAAGCTCTGTAGGTTGCAGTTTTGTCCTGTTTTGCTGTCTGAAGTGATCCTTGCCCGAGTTGCCATGGAAACTGGCTTGTTTGCTTTGCTACTCGGGAAGGAAAGCTTAACTAACTCTGACACTCCCGCTGGAGGAGGAATTTCTCTGCCCTCATGAGGAGGTTGGGGTGGGCTGTGCTGCAAAAGCAAGCCGCTGACAACCGGAGGTGGCCATGCAGAGGGGATAGGTGATGGGCGGGGGGGAGGGAGAGCTCAGTGGTTTGAGCATTGGCCTGCTAAACCCAGGGTTGTGCGTTCATTGTGGGGCCATTTAGGGATCTGGGGCAAAAATTGGGGATTGGTCCTGCTTTGAGCAGGGGGTTGGACTAGATGACCTCCTGAGGTTCCTTCAAACCCTGATCTTCTGTGATTTTATTGTGTTCATCTTCATCAGCTGATTAGCCTCATTCACATTGGCACCGAGTGAGAGCGAAGCACCGAACTCATTGGCAGAGGGTCGCAGCAGCATCTGTCCTACCCTTGCCCCCGCCAGCCTGTGACTGAACAGCCCCATCTCCATAAGTCCGGGAATGGGGGAAGGAGCAGGGATCTGTGCCCAGCAAGGTGGGGGATTTTCCAATTCCCTGGTTCCCTTTTGCAAATCACAGCCCCAGGTAGTCATACGGTCCCCATCAGCAGCGGAGCAGAGCCTCTCCCAAACAGCAACAGACCTTTACCCTCCCAGTAGCCCTGGGAGGCAGGGATAGACTTTCCCGCTGCTGCAGATGGGGAACTGAGGCCCAGAGTGGGCTAAGTCACTCGCCCAACTTCACACAGGAAATTTGTAGCTATGTCTCCTGAGCCTCAAGCTACTGTTCTCCCTACTGGACAGCTGTTTGTCCACTGGAGGGTTGTGCCGCCGGGGGAGAGGGGCGGGGGGCCCTGAAAGACCAGTCGGGGGCAGCGGGACAGATGTGAGATGTTGATTCATAGATTCTAAGGCCAGAAGGAACCATTGTCATCTCATCTGACCCATAGGCGCGGGAACTAGGGGTTGCTGCAGTACCCCCAAGTTTTACACAGGGCTCCACTTCCGCCCGCCCCCCCCCACGGGGTCCCAGCTGCCAGCCCTTCTCCTGGGGCTCCCGGTCCCACCCCTGGGGCTCTGCTGCCAGCCCCGTGCCCGGGGTCCCAGCTGCTGCCCCGTGCCCGAGGCTCCGCTGCTGGTCCTGCACCCGCCCCCAGTTGTGGCCCCAGCCTCAGCCTCCTTACCCCTGTCCAGGTCCCCCCCGTCCTGGAAACACAGCCCTGCTCCTGGCCCCAGCTCTGGGGAGGGGGGACGACAGGGTAAGGGGGCTGGATTTGAGCACCCCCACTATGAAAAATGTTCCAGAGCCACTGATCTGACCTCCTGTCTAGCACAGGCCAGAGACCCGCCCCCAAATAATTCCTAGAGCCGAGCTTTTAGCAAAGCACCATGCACTCGCAATTTAAACAGTGTCAGTGATGGAGAATCCACCATGGCCCTTGGTAAACTGGCCCAGCGGTTAATTACCCTCACTGTTAAAATATTATTACAGTCTGAAGCAAAGCAAACCTCCCACCCCTACTCCCCCACACACCCCGGCCCTTCAAGGGCAGTATTCTCCGTCAGCCCCTCAAAACACACACACAGCCCGAGTCTCTAGGGGTAGCACTGAGCCATGTTTTACTCTGCCTTATAAAGTAAATGTCAAGGGGTCGCAGGGATTCGGGACTTTGGCTGGGAGGGAGGGGGCGCTGCCCTAACAGGTTCAGGAACACTGGCTTTCCCGGTCCTTCCTTCCCATGGTGCTACTCCCTTTTCCCACCCAGCAGCCGTTACCCCGTTAACACCATGGTGCCAGATCACTGGGCTGCTGGGTGTGATGACTGGGAGGGGGGAGTGGGATTCCCAAGGGAGGGGGCGAGGCAAGGGTAGTTGAATTAACAGCAAGGAAATCAAATTAAGCAAGGAAAGATCTAGGCAGCCAGATATCAGGGAAAACACCCTCCTGGCAAGGCGTCGCTGGCTTGGAGCGGGGAGGCAGTTCATTTAGACCATCTTAAGCCATAAGCCACGCATCTGATCGCTTTGCATGTCTGTTATATCCCTTCCGTCTGCCTTCGTGGTTCTGGACTGCCCTCTACTTTGGGGTGGTGACTGTATCTGCTCTTGGGTTTGGCAAATGCCCAGCACACCCTGGGTGCCACCACAAGACAAATAATCATCGGCTCGCCCACTTACCTGGTGTGCCCCGGCAGACATGGGAATGGGGCATGCAAATTAGGTAGGCAATTGCGTGTGCAATTTTCTGCACGTGCTGATTAGGAAAATCAGGCCTTGAGGCCCTGGTGTGTGGCCAACGTGTCCTTCCACTGGTGGGGAGCACTGCTGAGTCCTAGCGTAAGCAAACCTCTTGGGAAACCATGGGACTTTGAGCCTCTTCTCCCACAATTCCCCTGGGCCTACTCTGAAAGTATCCCATGAGACCACGGAAAATTACCCAGAATGCCCCATGCCAGACCACAGTGTTGGGAATCAGGGATCCGCACGGGCGCTGTGAAGTGCTGCCCCAATCGCCAATCGGCGCAGCGCCGTTCCTGGGGGAACACACGGCGTCGCTCACGGCACCGACTCCGCTGAAGTTAGAACAAGTGGCGTAATTCATTCCACTGACATCACACCCCCTGAGCTCGCTGAAGGATCCAGGACCTTAGCGTCTCTCTGCTGCATTTCCGCCCGGCTCTGTAAAAGGCAGCGAACGGTACTGACCTACCTAGGCTGAACTGGATCATTGCACAGGGTCTCCCCCCACCTTCGGAAAACGGTCTCACCAGGCCAGTTGAAAGACAGGCGACAAGACGGTGGAGTGTTAGTTGTCAAGCGTCATGCTGGGCTGGGAGCGACCAGTGGAGTGTCTCTGGTGGACCCTACCGGGCGAATTCCCTGCTCGGATCCTCCATTGGATTCACGAACAGGTTAATCTTTGCAACACGTTGCAGCATCTGTCTCTCTCTCCCCAGACACCTCTTCCCTAAGCAGCAGCAGCCGCCAGCCCTTGGTGCTTTTGCAAAAAGGCATTTCTCAGAGCTTTTTGCAGCCCGGATTTATTCCTGACAGCAAGCGGCGCCTCTCTGGATTGCAAGCTGATGGGGACAGCACTGGGTCAAGACCTGTAAACCTGCTCCTTCGCTCGCACCCGCAAGTCTCTGAGGCAGGTTGGAAAAGCTCAGCCCGAAAACAGTCCCCTCCCTTTGCCAAGTCCTTTCCGCTGCTAGCATCCCACTGGTGCCTGAAGGCATGTGGATGGAAAGGGTGGTTCTTCTGTGTAGGCAAATATTAGCTTTTCCTGATGAATGAGGAGACCTAGCAGACAGATGGGCCCACAACATCTTGTGGGAAAAAGCAGAAGCCAGCGGCTCTCTCCCAGCAGCCCACCCACCTCTCAACGCCCTTCTCTTGTCCCTCTGGCCTGCGAGTTTCCAGCTCAGCAGCTCCTGGGAGGTCACAACTCAGGCTGAGGGGGGTCTATTCTTCCTCCCTATTATTTTGTTAGCCACATCCATCCCTCTGCCCCACCCCAAAAGGGGAGTGGAAGTGCCAGAATCTTGTCCACACTCAGGTATTGCCCTGATTCAGTCATCCGCATA